GTTCCATAAGAAAGCCACCTCATGACTCATGTGATAGCGGTTTCTTCTATCATGAAAGTTTCTTCTTTAAGCTTGACAGTGATTCAGATACGTGTAACATGCAATATGAGAAGTAGAGAACCCATTATAATATACATATACGTTATAAATAGACCTTGCCCCCTCCCCAAAAAAAATTTATATATACAAGAAAGTAAATAGAAAGAAGAAAATATATTTCGACCGACACGATAAGATTGGCGAAGACTGAAGAGGAACTCAATAATTGAACCATTAAGTACAGTGTAATAATACCCGCAGAAAATATCACACTGCCTACGCCTAGCTAGGGACGGTACTGTACTTTAAATTATTATTGGGACAAGCTAGGAGACCAGGTTACATTAAATCATGGATATGACGATGATGATGATAATGATGATGCATAAACATTCACCAAAGTTTACCTAATGAATTCAACCCCTTCTAGCTTAGTGGCTATGACCATATAGCCGACACGTTAAACTCCATCTCGGAGTAAATTATGCAGTGCCCAACGCTTTAGCTTGCGGTTCCCATTAGCAATATCATCAGAACGTGATAGAGAACAAATTAGTTGTTGCATATAAACAATTAGCAGATGGTTAATTAGGGTTTAGGGACCACACAGTTTAACTTTTTGAAAACGATAAACGCATATATAATTTTACCTTAGCTTATTTTACCAACCTTTTAGATTTTTGATGATATATATAGAAACAAATTTTTTAAAAGACAGTTTCTAATTAAATACAAATAAAAATTTCAAATTGCGACAAAAAATACCTATAATTTTTTGAACTATTTTCTGATGGAAGAATATTAAGCAAGACTTTTTTGGAAATTTGATCAGAAACTCAGAAAAAAGCATTTGATGGATAAATTATGTTAAAAGATCGCCAAATAATTATAAGTGTTACCGCTCTTTTCTGAAGATGAAGTTTTCCAAAAGTTTATTTTTGATTGAAATGTTAATTTTTCCTAAAGATTTCAGTCAAAAGTATTTTAAATGGTGTTATTGATGAATTTTAAACGATATTTCTAGGTGACGTTAAAAATTGTTTGGAAATATAATTGTGCAGATTAAAAAAACAAAGATAACCACATTAAATTACAATCATTAAAAGATAATAAAGAATAAAATAAAAATCTGTGTATTTCGTACGGATTTCTAATATCTTTCAAATAGTCGTCTAAATTTCGTTAAAACTATAAATAGTTTTCTTACATTCCCAATTGGTAAACTAATAAATCAAGTCTTTTGCATCTGCAATACACTTATTATAATCAAACATTCGACTTTCATTCCGCATGTACTACGTACGCTGTTTATTTAGTACTTTCACCAATACCACGTTTAAATACACACTTGGGTTGTTCCCCTATCACTATTTTAAGATCCATACAGTATATCACAATAAATAGAAAAGAAAAAACAAACGTTCACACTTCACACACAAGTGCAATAAAAATGATACCAATCAAGCCGAAAGTGTACGTGCAACAGTGTGTAATCGAACATGTATCATTTAAAGAAGACCATGTTCAAATAATACTATTTTTTTTTATATGACGATAGAAAATAGTAGTAATGTAATTATTGTAATGGGATAAAAAAAATATCGAAAAATATAGGATATTAGGAGAGCCATGATGGATAGGTTGATGGAGTTTGCTGTTTTTAGGGAAGAACCAACCAAAGCCAAGCAAGAGACTGATGATGATGATGATGAGAGAGTATCGTATCGTATCGTATGATTGTGAAGACTTGTTCTGTCGGCGCGTCATCCGACAAAACGACACGCGCGTGTGTGTGAGTCACGTGATTCGAGGCCTCTCGCACTGGCTCATATCATATTGGCTCCACGTGAGAGTTTCTTCTTCTTCTTCTTTAACTTTTCTTTTCTTATTTCTTAGTATTTGTTCTTCTTTCTCCTTTATGCTACTAACGAAAAATCCCCAAAAATATACTATATAGATACCTGATTTTATATTTATAAATTTTTAACCTTTTCAATAAAAATAATACTTTGATAAAAATGTCTCCATAATATTCTGCACCCCCACGTGAACTCCACCTCATTGTAACTTTTTTTGATAAACGACACAAGTTTAAAACTAAAACTATCTGTTACAAAAAAAAAAAAACAAAAAAAACCTAAATTCCCAATTTATGATCATTCATACTATCAATAATGGTTAAGGTCATATTTACATCTCAAGACTAATTTAATTTACAAAATATTAATCAAAAATTAATATTCTATTCTATATATATATATATATGTGTTTCACAAATGACAAACCAATTTCATTAAAAAAAAAATAGGAAGAGTTTTTTTTTCTATATACTTGAAACAAGTTGCTCATGTACTTATTAGTGTTTCTGAACATTTTGGAGCCATTCATTTATGTGGTTATTGTGTTTAAATTATTATTTAGAATTTTTAATATCGTATATCAATATTTTGCTTGAACATCAACTAGTTACAAAAGATAAACAAAGTTAATAATGTCAATATTATCGAAGAAAATAATCCAACTAATCAGTTAGTGTCACAATTTCGTGTTGTAACAAATATTGTGGTTTCTAATATGTAAAAAATGAAGATTTCCTCATACATCTAATATATTTGTTATAATCATCGTTTTGGTAGAAGAAATCAAAGAAGAAAAAAGAACTTTAAAATTTTGTAAAATTATTTAGAATAAAATAAAAAAGGAAACTTCTTACAAAATCTGGCTCGTATATATGTGACTGTGACTATTTTTTGTATCTCAAATACGACTATGTATAAAAGAAAAAAGGACCCACATTGATTTATGAAAATGAGAGATGGATCGAAAAGTTTTTGAGTGAGTGTCTGATTCCAATCATATAGATCCAATATATACATTTCACTTCTTCAAGTATTACTATTTCTGATGCTTTGTCAAACGAACCCCATCACATAGCTGGATTAAGTGGGGTATTATCCATCAAACAAAACAACTCGTTTCTCAACCGTTCGATCTTTATTTGTTTCCTCAACTTATTATTAATCTGTGGCCATGCATATACATATCTCTCTTCTTCTCTCTTCTTCGTTCTATATGATGATAATCTCTTTTATAGCTATCGTGTCACCTGGGACCTTCTCCACTGTGTCATCACACACCAATACTGGAATTAATATCCCTCCTTTTAAGGATTTGGAGGCAAGAAAAATCTTGTTGCAACTACATATATATTTATATCGTCATTAAAAATCGACTTTATATGATCAGAAAAAGAGATGGTCAATACAAGACTCGCGATAGATGTTTTAATTATTCAAGTTGTTATTTTCTCTAAACTAGGGCGGCCATTATTAGTGATTTGACTAGTAAACCAATTGATTTTACAATCTTGCCAATGATTTCCCATTACAACATTATCTAGTTAACCATGCTTAATTAATGTTACCATATTGTTATTGATTGAAAACTTTGACTTGTAAAAGTTGAATAAAAATCATGTCTTTGTGTATGTTTTTATATATCATTTATGATAAATGCATTCATATATATCAGTGCATTTTTTTATTAAGCCGATTCAAATAGTTTAGTCTCGAGAACTATATATATATATATACTAAAACCTGAGGCATGTTGTTAATATTTTCTTTCATATAAAAAAGGAGTATAGAGGTAAGTTGCAAAAATATATTGATATAATAATCTCTGTTTGTGGTATGACCAAAATATAAATATACGATCATTCTTATGCGATCATCATCATATAAATCTCTTTAGTTTGTTTGAAGTTGAACCACAACAATTCTCTCTTCTTCCTTTTTTTTTTTTTTTTTTCCAATTATGATAACTACTACTGCTCAGACAACTCTCATCAATTAACATCATTATTAAGTTTTCAATACGTTTAATTATATAATTCTCTAGTACAATGTACTGTTTTTTCGTCATTAAGTGGTTCAACGACAAAAGTAAAACTCATGCGGTCGACCCATGCGTTAGAGAACAAGAAAAAGCTTCTTTTTTTTTTCTTTCATAAAAAGAAGTTTTGAATTCAATTCAACCGTTTTATTTAGTTCCTCTTTAATTTAATTTTTCCTTAAAAAGTAAAAAGTTTTTTCAAAGTGTGCAACAAAGCGTGACTCTTTGGCCTTTAGAGCCATTAAGAAGGGCTTATCATTTTATTTCTTTTCTTTTTTACTATTTTCGACAATACCAAAATTGCATTATCATTTCTACCTTTAAAAATCAAAGTCAAAATTTTGGCAAAAACTTGCTAAATTTCTAGAATATTACTAGTATTAAACTTTGACTAAATATGTTTAGTATACATGGTAATTGGACAATGAAAGAAATGAAAATTCCAATTTCAATACTATTCAAGGATTTGTAAGTTTTGCTTGACTAGTTCTTATCCTATCACAACCTAACAATCTATATAGTCATGTTATTGAATAAACACGAGAAAAGTATTAAAAACTACATGCAAGCAAATTGAAAACAATGTAAACCAAATCCAAATCATAATAAAAAATAATTATTGTTAGATTTTGTTTGTTTGTTAGTTAAGACTCAAGAGGAAGATATTGCCACTAAAAGTCATATGAAAAAAAAAATATATCCTACAAAATGAACTGTTAATGATATCAGTTTTTGAATTAAAATCATCTTTGACTGAGGAAATTGATGTTATCTTAAATATTAGTATATTATATTACTACTAAACATTAATCATTAATGGTATGACTATAATTATTATTTTATCACATTAGATTTGATTAGGTTGAGAGAGTTTATGTAGAGGGGGACAAAGAAGCAAAGGGCTTTTTGATTATAATATTTTATTTTTATTGAAACTAAAGTATCAAATAATTAATTGACTCAGCTAGTCACACACTCATGATTGAAAATAATAAAAAAAATACTCTCTCTCCTTCTCTACCTCTCCTCTCTCTATATTAACTCCTCTTCTTCTTCCTTCACTTTCCCATTCATCTTCTCTCTCTCTCTATCTCTCAAAAGAAAGAAAAAAGCAGGAAACTTTATTGCAAAAACAGAGTCTTTCTTTTTGTTCCTGAGAAAATTAAGATGATGTTGGAGAAGGACGACTTGGGTCTAAGCTTAGGCTTGAACTACCCTAAGAAACAGATGAATCTCAATTCAAATCCCTCTGTTTCTGTTACTCCTTCTTCTTCTTCTTTTGGATTACTCCGTAGATCTTCATTGAACGAGAGTTTTACTTCTTCAGGTATTTTCATATCTTTCTGGGTTCCTCTGTTTTTATTATTTTCCCGAGAAAAAATCAATTTTTCCAGGAAAAACTCAGCAAAAACCTTAAAAGTCTCACTTTTCTTAACATATTCATAAAACCCATCTTTAATCTGTTGTAAAAACCATTGCTTTTTGACAATTTTCTCCACTTTCCGGAGAAAATAATATCCATTTTCCCGGAAAATCACATCATATAACCTTAAAGGTCTAAATCTTATGCATGCAGTTCCAAACTCAGATTCATCTCAAAAAGAAAAAAGAACTTTCATCCGCGGAATCGACGTGAACAGGCCACCGTCGACGGCGGAATACGGCGAAGAAGACGCCGGAGTATCGTCACCGAACAGCACAGTCTCAAGCTCAACAGGGAAAAGAAGCGAGAGAGAAGAAGACACAGATCCACAAGGCTCAAGAGGAGGAATCAGCGACGATGAAGACGGTGACAACTCCAGGAAAAAACTCAGACTCTCCAAAGATCAATCTGCTATTCTCGAAGAAACCTTCAAAGATCACAGTACTCTCAATCCGGTAAATAATTTTTACTCTTCTTTCAAATGGACCAATGATGATGGAAACGAAAATAACGCGTAAATGTTTTATATTCAACATGACTATTATTACTTGTTGACAAGAGAAGAAATAAAAACATTTGCTACTATTGGGTTTTGGTCACTCATAAATGCAGATATTAATTTGTAAAATGGCATTTTCGTAAATTTTATACTGATTCAAGGTTCTTTTTGTTAACAGAAGCAGAAGCAAGCATTGGCTAAGCAATTAGGATTGAGAGCTAGACAAGTGGAAGTTTGGTTTCAGAACAGACGAGCTCGGTAAGATACATAAAAAGAACCTAATCTGTTTCCCCGATTTGCCCCTGATTTATCTATGTACTGATAAGGGTATTTTGGTAATAACAGAACAAAGCTGAAGCAGACGGAGGTTGACTGCGAGTTCTTACGGCGATGCTGCGAGAATCTAACGGAAGAGAACCGTAGGCTACAGAAAGAAGTAACGGAGTTAAGAGCACTTAAGCTGTCTCCTCAGTTCTACATGCACATGAGCCCACCAACCACATTGACCATGTGCCCTTCGTGCGAACACGTGTCGGCCCCTCCACCACAACAACCACCTCAGGCTGCAACGTCAGCGCAGCACCACCGAGGGTCGTTGCCGGTCAATGCTTGGGCTCAGGGTACGAGGATCTCTCACGGCTTGACTTTTGACGCTCTTCGTCCTCGGTCCTAAAAGTCTTTTTTTTTTTTACTTGCAACCAAAGGGTGTTTTGGTCGTTTTATTAAGTTTCAGGGACCAAAATGCATGTAGTTGTTAACATGTATGTATTTTTAGAAGAAGAAGAAAAAATGAAAAACAGATTAATATTTTTGTTGATTAAATCAAAATGTTCATGCTAACGAGTAACAACAAAATGTTTACAGCCAATATTATCCGATATATATTTTCCATCAATTCCATTTATCCGATTTTGTGATGTGAAATCATTTTTTTGTTTTTGTTTTGTTGCAATAATTATTTTGGACAACTATGACAAGAAAATTTAATGCAATAATAATAATTAGTGTTAGGTTAAATAGTAGTCTCTAGCGACAAAGGAAGCGGTACAATTGATGTAAGAAACGAAATAAATGAAAAAAATGGTTCAATATTATTTCATTTGGCGTAAGCGATTATGTTAAAATACTTAATAGTGACAAATATATTTGAAATCTTTTCTTATTTTTGAAGCAAATTTTTTTTAATGGTTATATAATTATTTGAATTCGACTTTGTATATATGTGTAGTTTTGGCCAAAATCAACTGGTGAATTGTTACCATTACAACTTGCAAGTGAGGATGTTACTATACGGTCATACATGAGTATAGGTCGAATATAAGCCTTACTGAACATAGATGTTAGGCTAATAGGCCATTTCTTCTTATCCAAACCCACTTAGCCCAAAAAATAAATGTTTTGACACAAACATCAACTAGATTTTCTTGTCGAGTTGACCGTTCTCCATGGACACTCTCCTAAGTCCTAACGTACAAGCACTTCATGAGCGGAGATTTGCACCCCGGCTGGATGGATGCGACGAGCAATAATCCCGGTAAAGAACCCGAAATTTTTCATGTTTACGCCGTCGAGTAGATTGGGTCTTCCTTCCTCAAGTACTAGATAAAGTCTAGAACTTTCACCTTCCAAAGAGAAATGTGTCTTGTTCTTTTTTTTTGTATGAAATGTGTCTTGTTCAAAGAGCTTTTTCTATGTTGTTTGAATCAGACTGCTATGAGATGCTGAAGATGCAAGCAGCTTGGTGTCAGATTAAAATGATGTCTTCCTATGTAAGCAGCTTGGTGTCGGACTGACTCTATATAGAGATCAAGCCTCATCTCATCGGATCATTCATTCACATACACCTCTCTTCCATCTTTTATTTGCAAGGCTGAATAAAAATGTTGTAACAAAAATATTTGTTCCCCTTCATATTACAACCTTATGATACATTACCAACATTAACTGAAAATGTATTTTGGCTTCCCTATTATTAATAGTAGTTAATAAGTTCTACCTCGAAGAGTTTGCAGAGATCTTACCAGCAGATCTCTTGATAGACTCGATTCTTTGTAACCTAATCTGTTCTCTGAACTTTGCAATGAACTCATCTGCCTTTTTGTCCACGTCACTTACATTGTTGCTCTCACAAGCTCCTTCTTCCGCTACTATCTTCTTCTCAACCTCCTCGTGCATTTCATTTTCTCTTCTTCTCTGTTCTTCTTTCTCGAAGTCTTCAGCTTCCTTGCTTTCCAAGTAACTTCTTTGATCATTCTTCTCCGTGTCTTGTTCCTTGGATTCCACGATTGGATCAGACCACCACACCTTTTTAGGAAAGTTTCTTTTCATCTTTTGCTCCGACGTCTTTCTCCGTTCGCTACTTATTCTGAATTTTGTCGGAGGTGACTTATAATACTCCACCGGAGGTGGTGGTGGCGGAGGCGGCGGAGGATTATGAAACTCACCGCCTTCAAATTTAGTCTTGTGAACTGATTCCCTCCGCTCAACTCTGTAAATTCCCGGTTGAACCTTTCTCGACGATGAATTATAAAACGCCGGTAGAGGCGGTGGAGGCGGAGGAGGAGGTGGCGGAGATGGATGAAACTGAGATGCGAGATTAGGTATAGGATTCGACTTTCTTGGAGAGGAGTAAGAAGAAGATGGTGTCAGATTCTTGATCAACGGCTGTGATTCAACTGTAGTCAGATTCTTAATGGACGGTGGAGATTCAATCTCTTTTGACGATGATGATGATGATCTTGACCTCCATGGAATCGGAGAAGGAAGCACATCACTGTTATCATCACCAAGAGTCTTCAAAAGCTGTCTTTTGGATCTCACTTTATCCCATCGACCGGATTTATCGCCGAAGGAATCAGGAACAGGATAATAGTTCAAGCTCCGAACAGGTAAAAGCAGAGGTTTCTCTCTGATCTCTGAGCTAACTCGATCGACGAAACGAGTCTCAACCTCGGGGATTTTCATGTGGTACTTGTTCCTCCATGCCTGAAACTTACGGTGGTCGCCGGAGGAATCATCGGACGGTTCAGATTCACTCTCGTGATCAACGTTAAAAACAGAGGATACTTCAAGAAGCTTAGGAACATAAGAGTGTGAATTGTTGTTGTTATGATGATCAGCTTTGTTGTGATCACTATTGCTTGATCCTCCGGCTCCTCCTCCGTCATAGTTACGGCGGCTGAAGAGGCCGTAGGAGACGGCTATGCCGACGAAAACAAGGTGGAGAAGCTCGAGGAGTCTTGTTTGGTTAGCTAGCTCCGGCGTCTGAGAAAGGAAGACAGGTACGACGGCGCAGAGCACGGTGAGGATAAGAGCTTTGAAGATGAATCGAGAGTAGAATCTTGTAGGGTTTTGATCTTCTTTAGTACCCAATTGGGTTGGTTTCTTGGGGCTTTTTGCTTCCACCATTAGAGAGAGAGAAAAGTGAGTGTTGTAGAGAAGTTGTAAAAGTTCTTTATTTTGGTTATGAAAGAAGACAGAGAGAAAGAAGTTAGTGGAAATGCTAAGACTTAGAGGTTAAGTTCTGTTTTTTTTTTAATGTTCCTACCATAAAAAAAAAGAATGTAAGAAGAAGAAAAAAGAGATTGAAGAGAACAAAATCTGAAATCCAAGTTGATGTGTGAATTCACTCCCAACTTTAATTTTTGGTTTCTAATACTATTCTAACGTTATTTTTATCATTGACAGCGACTAGAGAATCGTTACTCAAACTTGTCTAAATGATCCAAATGTTACGTACAAAACTTGTTTTTTTGCGCTATTTTGTGAGAATTGCTTTTTTTTTTGTTGTTGTTGTTGTTGTTGTTGTTGTTATAGTATGTATGATATGCTAGGTAAATGTGAAGATAAAGGTTTTTTTAAGTAGTGTGTAACATAAATGGAGAAATATAATTGATCTAGTCCAACAAAATTTGATTAACCTTAATTTGATAGAATCGGTTGTCTTCTAACTTAGCATCAATATTAGGGGAGTGGTATGGTTCGCTATACCGAAATAAAAGAACCAACAAAAGACATAAACATCATGAAATTTAGGTAATCAAGACAAATGGCATGTTTTAGGGTTTGATTCTTGAAATCGATCCAAAAAAGCTTTAATTCGAGTAAACTTCTTTAATTCTATGGATTTTTTTTTTGTTTGAAAACGTTCTATTTTAAAAAAAAAATCTCTAAAAACAATTTTAGTATGCACGGTAATTTTTTTTTTTTAATTGCAATGTTTGTTAAATCCCTATTAAAACGATTTTACTTAACCAAAAATGATGATATAATGATTTAAAACGTCTAGAATAGATTATATTATAGAAGAAATGATTAAAGGAAAATGAAATCATATTTATTTTAAATCAATTTTAGTAAATAAGGAAAGTATTGAAAATTTTAATGCACAATATACATAATATATATATATATATATATATATATATAATTTTTTAACGGTATAGTTATTGGAATTTCGGAATAGTTAAATTAGGAAATTATAGATAAATTTAAATTATTAATATTTGGTAACTATGGATTTGGAGGAAATATAGGAGCCTTTAGTTAGTGAATTAAAGGGAATAGATATCAAGAAAATAAAAAACGAAAATCTGCAGGCAAAATTGAGGGGAAAAAGGAAAATGATATCAAAGTTGACCTAATGAATATGTGTATAAATATGGAGACACTTCGTTGAAGAAAGAAACAAACTCATACAATAGATCTAAGAGCAAAAACTCTCTCTTTTTAGTTTCTCAAGTTCTAATTTTCTGGTTAGCTAACATAAGTTACTACCATCTTTCCTAGATCAGTTTTCAGTATATAATACTAGTTCAACAATTGGTGTCGTATGTGGTGAATCAAATGAAAATATCATCTTTAAGTTTGAAGCTTTTGGATTTAAGATTTTTTGTTTTGATTCCCCACAGACGGCGCCAAATTGTTTAACTCGTATTTCAATTACAAACTAACTCTACCTGATGATCTTTGTTTGGTTAATGTAAAAGGGGTTTTAGAGTAAACAGTACAATTCATTGATAATACGTTTAGAGAATATGACAGAGTAGGTCGCATAGGCATATGACCCTCGGAGGAATATGGATTCTCTTCTTTTGGTCTATTTACGCTAAGCTTTTTTTTTTTGTTCTTCTTAACGCAGCAGCAGTTGTCAGAAAACCTTAGTTACACACTAATTCTAAATACAAGATTCATCTAACACACCTATCACCGGACTTGGGAAGATTAATTAAGGGGACGATTCTTTTCCTTTAAGACCAAACTTGTCGATATGGTATCTAATACTTTTTGAATATTATAATAAACTTTGAAATTCGAAGAAAAAAGGAATAGAACAAATTCTTTTAATCTTATTGTTACATTGATTAGGGTTTTTAGAATCTCTCAACACTAGATGTTCGAAAACTCTTGTATATGAATCCGAGACTACTCCATAAATAAAAGTTCCATAGAAACAATGGAAACATAGGTTTAAATACTTAATACGGTTTTTAGATTTTTAGATTATATGATTAGTCAAGAATCATCGAGATAAATTTGACAGGTCAAACTTTAAAAAGTGTCTAATCACGACCACATCATTTTGACACCACTTTGGTGGGGCGGTGAATCACTGGTCGGCTACTTTTATCGACCTCTAATTAGTTTTAATTTTTGGTTGGGTTTGCTTTTTCTTTGACAATTAACTTTTTCTTTTCTTACAAAACCAAACTTCACATAAGCATTTGAGTTCAACCATTAGCTTAAAACATACGCATAAAGTATAACCACTGGTTTTAAGTTTAAGCCACCTTATTTCCACATTTTGATTACAGCCACACAAATTGACATCATGTCGATGTATGCACAAACACGAACAGTGATTTTTAGATGTTGTTTTTTTTTTCTCCCTTGCTTACTGTGACATACACATAGTTATTAACATTCCAATTCAATTGTTATTGAAACTAAAATTGATTGGACTCTAATGATTTTTTCACTGTAAGGTACGGAACGGTTTTCACTTGCCAATGTAAAGAGGCTTGCGCTTCTCAGCAAAAGCAGCTAATCCTTCAAGACGATCTTGAGTATTAAGAAGATTCTGATAACACATCTCTTCTACCTCCAAACCCGAAGCCATATTCGTCTCTATTCCTTCATCAATCGCTTTCTTCGCCATCTTTATAGCCAGTGGACCTTTTTCATTTATCTGCTGTGCCATTTCAATTGCTTTCTCATGAGCCTCACCAGCGGTAACACAAATGTTCACAAGCCCTGCACCACACAAAAGAAAAAAAGAAAAGAAAAGAGTATGAATCAATCCTTATTTGGGTATATTGCCAAAACAAAACCACAATATAAGAAATGTAACTTGTATAGTCAAAGACCTTTATCTGCAGCTTCTCTTGCATCGATCTTTCGACCTGTGAATATAAGCTCCTTTGATATCGATCTCCCAACCAGCCTCGAGAGCCTCTGTGTCCCACCAGCTCTAAATAGAAAAGCAAAGAGAAATTAATTATCAGAAGAATGATAAAAAAGGTAATAAGAGAAATCAATTGTCAAGAGTGATGAAGTTTAATATATACCCAGGGATTATAGCAAGTCCTGTTTCAGGCAAGCCAAATACTGCATTTTCGCCTGAGAATTTCAATTTCAGAGTATTAACCATATTTGCTTATTTTGGCCGGTTGATTATAATAAGAGTATGACCAGATATGTAAATACCGCAGATTCGAAGATCACAAGCTAGAGCCATTTCGAGTCCACCTCCCAGTGCCACACCTTCGATTGCAGCAATAGTTGGAATGCTCAGTGCCTAGAAACACAAGTCTTTCAAGTCACTACAGCATAAAAATCTCACTGAAATTCAATTCCTAGAGCTTTTACATTGAGATAAGGGAGAACAAAACAAAGAAACAAGAAAAAGAATTTCATATAAGTAGAACTATAAGTAAGTTCTTAATCTTGATAAAGCTAGAGCTAGTTCTACAAATTGTAGTAGGCCATCCTAATGATTTGATGTGAGATTGTATACATTAATGCCAAACACAGTTAAGGTTGACCGTTAACATAACCCAACAATTTTTCCATCAATGACAGTAGCTGCTAATCTATGAACACCATCAAGGATAAATGAGAATATACCTCTATGAACGAGAACATGTACCGCAACGAGTTGACATATGTGTGAACCTCAGATGGACTCATAGTTCTACGCTCCTAACATCCAATCAAAACAAAACAAATACTTTCAAGAATGGCTAAACAAATCGAATTCGAACATTCCGGGAGACATGCCAGTGAAAAAACTACCTTGAGATCTGCACCAGCACAGAAAACTCCTGGAACCAGACTTCTGATCATGACAACCCGAGCTGAACTATCTTGGTGTATGGACTCAAATGTGTTCTGGAGACTTTTCAGCATCTCATTATTAATGGCATTTTTGGCAACAGGCCTATCTAAATTGACCTCAACTATCCCTGCAAACCATAAACACAAACAGTATTTTAGTCATCTCTCCTTTGATATCAGTAAATTGAAGAAGTCTCCAAAACTTCAGAGATCTTTAATTGATCAAATGACACTGTCCTGAGCAATGAGTTTGAGTCAGTAGTAAACAAGCAAGTATATATAAAGAACCACAGTGATACATTTTCAAAACCCTGATAAGAAACTCATCTTCTTAAACAAAATGTGCAAAACACTTTACCTTAAGTAATTTTGCAATCAATTCAGCGCTCTTAAGAAACCATTCAGTATCATCCTACAGAAATAAAAACTCAAGAAACGAAACTAATACGACGAAAGGGGATAAAGGATTTGTGAAATTACCTGAATCGGAGCCAGATAGACGATTAAGCTTGACAAATTCAGGCGGAGCTGTTTCAATTATAAGAGTCCGGCATGTCTGAAGCATGTAATCACGGCTAAGATACGGTTTTCCGGCTAACCGGAGCAAACTGTCTCGGCGGAGATACTTGACGAAGCTCATCTTCACCGACTCGGACCCGTGAGCACACCCAAGTTTTGATTTTTTTTTTAAAATGAAACACCTTTTTTTTGGCTTAAAAAGAATTTGCTCTGTCCGAAAAAACTCTTCTTGATCAGCAAGTTCAAGAAATAAACAATAAAGTCAATTAATTAATTGATCAGTACTAATTTGCTTCTTATCATCCTCCTCAGTGATGATTCATCAGATCATAGTCTTTGAAACAATACATAATTACTGTACCGGGACATAACCGGTACCAAATCTATGCTCATTCTCAATTCCGGTTAAATGCGTCTGATCTGGTTCGGGTTACTTTTGGTTAGCTCAACATACATATTAACATGTGGAGGAGTACAGAAGAGAGGGGGAAAAATGCAATACAATCTTGGTGAAATGGTGAAGACTAGTACTCAAAGACTCAGACTTTATGTATCCATGCGTCAAGTCGAAGCTGCTTCAATGGTGGAACTATATTCCCTTTGCTCTTCTGCGGGCAACGCCATTTTCCTGCAATCTCCTCTGCTCTAGAGGGCTGATGATTCGACATTTCTCCCAAAACTCTTCTCCTCTTCTTTCTTTCCTCTTTGTCTTCCTCTTCAGCGATATTCTTTAAATCTTTACTTCTCGAACATTCCACCAGAACTCTTGTGTTTGGTTTCACCGTGGAAGATTTGTCTCTTGCTTCTCTGAATCTTGCCTTTTTCGTCGTCACAAATCCAGTTTCAGTGCTTTGTCCATGAACATTTTCCTTGTCATCTGATTCTTGGTGTTTTGGAGACTTTTGTATGATGGAGTTCATGGGAATGGTTTCTTGTATATGATTTGGTCTCAGCTCATGTAAAGAAGCTTCGTTCTTCGAGGGTGATTTACATTTATGGTTGTACCGGGAAACTTCAGGGTCAAACTCTGCTTCTTTTGGTTCACAGCATAAAGGTTCCTGCTTGAAGCTTGTTTTTCGTTTCACTTCTCTCTTTGAGGCATTGAACAATCTAACTGAGAACTGCTTTTCCATTCCCTGGTCTGAATATGAATTGTCTGAGGAGCCTTCCTTGGCCTAACATGTAAAATCGAGAAAGAGTCAGGGAGAACTAACAGAAGCTAGAGTCAGTCAACACAAAACTGTGCAATTGATAGTAAATAACAACTGGATTTCATTTAATTTAAAAATGTGCAGTGATGATTTCTCATTGTTTAGATGGTTCAAGAACATTACGTACCGTATTTGTGGCAATGACATCCTTGTAGACATTTGAATTTAAGCTGCCAGGACTAACAGTCTTTTGCTTGCTCTTAATTTTTCGAAAAATACCGAAACCATCTTTGTTCTCTGTGTCACTCTCGTCAACGATTAACTCATCTTTCCCAAGAGAAGAAAATTCAAGTTCATGAGTGTCAGAAAGCTGAGGAGAATGATACTCGTAGCTTGGAAACCAGTTTCTGACATCAGGAGGCTCTAATGAACAAGACAAAAAACATGTAAGATTCAACTCTACAGTTCTAAACTAACCTGTGTCACTTCATTAATAACACATTTCAAGAAAGAAAACGTCAATAACATATACAAACAACTGGCTGTACTCACCTGAAAGAACAGACTCTGACTGAGAGAAATCTGTAACCTGCAAGTAGACTAATTCGTCAGCCTAATAGAGAATATAATTTTGATTGACAGACAGCAAACAGTGAGAAACATAAAGCATATAAGAGCTCAGGAAGTATACTTATAATTAGTCATTAGATCAGACAACCCATATAATCACATCTTAACATGAAACAATGCTCAGTATTTGATTCATCTTCTGAGTCTACATACCCAATCCAAAACTATTTAACAAAATGAGAAAGTGAATCAAGCATTAATATAGAGAGGAGTGATAGAATGACTAGCCTTTTTCAGATACTGGTTTTCTGTATTTGTACTCTCGTTCAGATGATCTCTGCCGTCTAGTATCTGCACACAAGAAGACCAAATGTGTTTGTTTCCTTGAGTATAGCTCAGCATAATAGACCATGAATGCTTAGATAATAGTAGATCACAAACTCATAATCAGGAAATATGAGTTCATCCCATTTCAAAACCAAAACAAAAACCTCAATGTATAACAAAAAAAGTTCATTATTTTAATTGCAAAACCTCAAAATCAAAACAAAACCTCAGTAGTTCAATCTTACAATACCTTTGTAGAACGGAGAAGTTCTTCTTGATCAAATGACCTAGGACAAACATTATTTCTTTCAACATCTGTTATCTCATTTTCTGTTTCGGTCTCCTTTACAATACATACATTATCTCCAGGAACAGACAATTCAAAACCATCGCTTGTATCCAGCAACGGCGATTCATAGACATAGCTCGAAAACCAATTGCCAAGATCAGGAGGTTCTGAGAAGCAAATGGATCAAAACCAGATTAAGTTACATACACAATAGCACATAATCCCCATTAAGATTCACAACAATGACCAAAAGAAAGCTTACCAGAAGGGAGTGATTCAGAGTTATCTGAAATCTGCCAAAAAAGTGCAAAAATTTACAAAAGGGTTTAACCAAATCAAACATTCAAAACCTCAAAAGGTGAATCAATGGTGAGATATTACCACCTGCTTTTGATCTTTGTTGGAGACAGTAACAACACCAAGATTAACTTCGTTCACTACATCATCTACTTCGGTTTCAGTGTCATTGATTGAAGAAAACAATGGTAACGATTCATAGACATAACTGGGAAACCAATTCGTGATATCTGGTGGTTCTGTAGGAAATACCCAAATTTGAAAACGACTTAAGAAATTTGCAATTAAGGTGTAGGAGATATTAAAACCCAGTAATTAATTACTCACCGGAGATGGGAGATATTGAATCGGAGTATCCAGGTTCCTCCATTAGAGAGCTCTCCACTTCGTCTTTCTCTCTCTCTCTTTCTTTCTCAAATGTTTTGATTCTTCTGCAAAGCTGAGAGATGAGTCCATAATTATGGTTTCGCGCGCTGATTTTTTCAATAAAATTAGTTGGAGCGGAAACCTAATTTGGTATTGGACCTTATTATAATATTAATGGGCCTATAGTTTAATACCCATATTAATTAGGACTTTTGGGACTATTCAGTTAAGGGTCCAAAGCATTAAGAAAAATTGGATTAATAATGATGAATTTAATTTGGTTTACAAAAAAAATAAATAAATGATGAATTGAATTAATTTTTTTATTTTCTTTCCCATTATATTTCCTCATATGGTACTAGGGGGTTTTTTCCCTTTTTGTTTCTTCTTTCTATTAGAGGATTTTCATCTTTTTTTTTTTATTAGAGGTTTCCCCCCATTTTATATCTACCTTTTGTAATACATTTTGTTTCCCATGTATTAAAAAACAAAGTCAAATAATTAAATTAAACATCTTTAAATTATTATCACTGTTTCCATTGGATATTAATTTTTTGGTCATACAATTTGAAAGAGCATTTTAGAGAGAAAAGTGATTAAGCATACACTTAATCTTGTGGAGAAAGACATAAACTTAAAAGTAAAAAAAAAAACAAAGAAGGAAAGATATGATGATGAAGAAAGGCCACTAGAGATCACTTAGATGGAGGTTCCACCACCGTCCTGGCCTCCACGACCACGACCACCTCGACCTTCACGACCATGACCTCTGCTACTACTGTTTCCACGGCTAAAATAAGTATCCCATTTCTTCTCTATCATCTCTTTGGCCTTTGGAGTTTGTTTGATCGGCCTTTTTCCTGAATTTCTCTGAAAAGGTGTAGTCATCTCCACATTAACTTGCGAAGGTTCTGCTGTGTCGAGAGCTTTTGCTCCCACATCCATTCCATCTTTTTCCCCATTTTTACATGCACTAGGTTCACTACTTGATGCATGTGTATGTGTAGTAGCTTCTTTGTCACCCTCCCTAGAAAAACAAAAAAAAATCTAGTTAATAATAACTACACTACTACTACTACTACTACTATACTACTAACTATATATATATATATATATATATATATATATATATATATATATATATATATATATATATATATATCTTAACATTTTTGAAGTACATTTTGTACTAAAATCAATTTTGGGTTATAACTTTTTATTTTGAATATTTTCATAATCAAATCCTTGCCATATGAATAAATGACAAAACTTAAAAGTAATATTTGTAATTAAATCATAAGCAAATAGCAAAATTGGAAACAAATGTTTATTACATTTTAACATTTTCCTAAAATCTCTCTCTAATAAATTGAATCTCTCT